GAGGGAGGGAGGGAGAGAGAGAGAGAGAGAGAAAGAGAGAGAGAGAAAGATAGAAACAGGAACGGCAGAACGTTCATTCGTGTAGCAAAAGGCGAACAATGGTTAACAGCATTCATTAATCGTTCTCACATCGAGAATCCGCATCCGATCGATTCTTTGGTACATTGTACACTGTTGCACTTACCACTTTACATAAAATACATCTCGTACGTACAATTGTAAAACAGATCACGAATATACTCACCACAAACAAATTTCGCGATAAACACTCCTAAGCTGATCCACAGGCCGTATTTACATCCGCGCCGACCTGGGGTGGCGAAGAGCGCAGCCATTTTCTACATTCGAGAGCACATACTTCACTGTGACGTAGGGCGAGACGCGTCGGCCGCAGAGCGCAGGCTGATCAGGTTCGGCTCTTTCCGTTCTTCTACGGAAAGAACTGACAGCTTATTGGAGAGCTGGTTTTGTAGCACTTCGGCTGTTAAACAAAGACAACTGCTTGAGATTATCTAAAAGAGAGAAATAAAGATATATTCACGTATCAGCAGTGTATCTTTAATTCGTGGTACCCAGACAAACTATTTCGAATTTTTTCTAATCGAACGGTATTTCAAATAAATATGAAATTTCAAGCAAAATTGGTCCATAAAAATTTCTATAAATTTCAATATAGTCAACTTCTTATTCTTTAATCGCATTTATATATATATATTTATTTATATTTTATTATTTTTTATTATTACATTTATTTTATTACAATTTATATATATATTTATATATATATATATATTCGTGTTTAAATCATTATCTAATTCATCAAATTGTCCATTTAAAATGATCATTTGAAATGAAATTAAAATTTTATCCGAGAGAGATTTTTCGAATAAGATGTTTCGTTTAGTTCCTTAGTTTCTCAGCTTATTTGTTTTTGTACTGCATTATTCACACGTGGATTACATACTTAATTTGTTTAACATTTTATACGCGATTAAATTCTTGAAATCGCTAAATCGCCATTGTAGATCCTTTGCATCTTATCTGTAAAGATTTCACATTTGAAGCTACGTACCTGGTCTGTCATCGTAGCTATATAGTAGGGAGTGTGCGACGGCGCCCATAGGGCGCCATCGTGCCGCGACGAATGCGGTTTCTGAGATGTTTCTTATTCTCTCTTCTTTTCCTCTTCGTTGACTACATGTTCCTAGTATCGATGCTTTAGGGAACTAAGTCAGAAAGCTCATAAGGAAATACAAGAGAGAATGGTTTTTTAAAAAGGTGCGAAGGTTCTCGCGACTGACGCATGGACCTAGACAAAGCTGGAACTCAGCTTTATTGAATCTTTTCATTCCATCCGCATACATATTTATTGTCGACTAACAGACTAACCGTACCAGAATACAGAGATTTTATACAACTATATATTATGTAGCTCCACAGCAGAACATAAAATTACGATTAGTTTAACTTTATTCTAAGACACTCTAAGTTTCTCATTCGCTTCTTTTTCTTTCGATAATATTTGATATTTTTTATATTTTTTTATTTCGATATTTTATAGTGATATGTATACAATATATATATATATATATAGTCCACAAAGAAATTTTTTATTCCGAAAACCCGATTCCTTTACGTCGTGTACATCCTGACATATGTACGTATCGATATATCTGCATCGATATACGAGATAAAATGATAAAACGCGTGCGAAATGAGAGGAATCAGAGAGAAGGGCGATACATATTTTGCCGACAGTTTTGAAAGTGGTGCATTCGCACTTATGCGGCGCCGTTTTGATAATCGAGCCGATTGGACAAAATGGAACGCACCATGGGGGTGCGCATCACGCTGAGCTTTCAACCTTTAATCTTTAACATCGCATACGTATACTATTTTTATTTCTTCAGGATGGATATCGAGTTAACTAACAAGTGAATGGGTAATACGTTTTCATTGAGAATGATATTTGAATTTGAGAAAAATAATTTTCTGAAAGTTGTGGAATTTCGAAAGACTATGTTCATTTCATAACCATTTTCTTTGCTCAATGATATTTATCAAATATTACTGTTCAAACACAAGTAAATGACAAAAATTATCGACCGATACTATTTTATTCATTCGTTTTTTTCATTCACCTCGATGTTAATGATTCTCAAATACCAATCAGGGAAAAATAAAAAATTACAAAATAGTTTAAAATCTGATAATCTTTTATGTTTCATCGAGATGTAACCCAGCGAGGAAAGAGTGAATGTAAAAATCGTAAACGAACGAAACAATAAGAGTAACGACTACGAAAGCAAATGGATTCGAAGATAAGATTAATAACATCGTGGTGATATACATATGCGTAGAGACGATAGAGAAACGTGAACGTAGTAATATGAGGATATTGTACGTGTAATAAGAGGTACACGTTACGAGCAATATTATCGCGTGCGAGCGCAACGAACCGAGGACGTTTGATCAAAGCACCATAAATGTGCTTACTCAAGAAGAACTACATATAGGGATAAGATAAAAAGGCTGCATAGACATCGTAATATCATATATCGTGAAATACTGACTATACCGAGCCAGAAAGTATCCACTTCATTCATCAATTTATTAATTTACCGACTCGTTGAATCTTTCGACCCGACAACGCATCTCTCTTCATATACACACATATGGACTTAAGTAATACATAGTACTTACACTATATTACCGATAGTTGTTCTCTTCATAGTAATAAGTGAATTTTTATGTATCTGTTCGAAACTTAACAAAGTGGAGTATTCGTTGTAATTTTTAATAGATAACAAACACAGCGTAATGATAAATATCAACAAATTGGAAAGAATACATCATGATTCGATCGACGATAAACTTTGCTAAATGATGTTATTTAACGATGTTTGATTTATGTTCGATATAAAAAGATCTGATCTGAATACTAACTTTGAGATTATAATCACTTGAGGATTTACCCTCTTGAGAATGAATTTGTTCAATTAAACGCGTTAAATCGAACTACCTGCCCCGATAACAGCTTTCCGTTCTTCGAACGAGTCTCGTGTGCCCATTAGGGATAACGATATCTTTAGAGCAAAGTGTTATCGCTAAAAGTCAGGTGTGTACCGGGGCATCTAGTGCTCGATCAAAGTAAGCTTGCCGACGACAACTTGACAACAGAATTCGAAAGGCAAACAAGCTCTCTTTTTCTCTTTCTTTGTTATTTCACTACTTACTGCCTTTATTTTTTTCCGTCTCGCACGCGTGTGTGCGCGTTTTATTTTCTCAAAAATACTCTTTAGCAAAGTATGTTTTAAAACTTGTCGATTAATTTCTGTCTCCTCTCTCTTTTTCGTCTCTTTCTCGTAGGCATGTTCCACGTGAAATTATAACGCCATCGGAACAGTAACTTGCCATCAAATGTCGTACTTGATGCTATGACCATTGGTGACACCATGACGGTGTTGTATGTATATTAACTATCAGTGCCTAATTACTGTTATTAAATTTTGTAAAAGTTTCTTATATGTAAATTTAGGAAAATTTTTCGCAACCTATCAAACAATATTTTATTAATTTTTTACGGAAATAGCTGGTCACTGATGAAAGTTACGCTTGGAACTAGCTACTTGTCATAATGTTAATGTTCAATTTGCTTTCAACAAAGTTCACGCGAATAATGTTTGATCTGTCTCTTGTATAAATCGCATTTTAATAAAATTTTCGTTACGAATTTCCACAAGGTCATACGTAGCTGCTTGCTATTTGAACATTTTCCACGGAAGAATTTTATGTACATATCGTGTGTATTACATAAAACATTTTAAAACTTCATTTTCAGATTTATTTGAAATTTTACCATTACGAAAATTTACCATTTTACCATTATAATGATATTTTTAAATTTTTCATACACATAATATATTTATAAACGATTTCTATGAATTCGCGAGTTATTGTATGTTACTTAGTCAAGAAATTGTGAGAGAAGATACAGTATTCGAAGTAGAAAGTAGAACATAACTATTGCGAATGGAACTTATTTGATTCCAGAGCTCACAGCGATAAGAGAAGGGTATGTTGTATACTAGTTACGGTCCTGATACACTTAGTTAGTCCTTATTCAGAGATGCGATGGATGAAGGTGAGGCGCGAGGGCAGGCACCTATAACAAAGATCCATCGGAACCGGTTTCGTGTTCTGCCCTTTTTTTACATTCCCGAAAGAGGTCCCGCCGAGCCACGGGTGTGAAAACCGACACTCACCCCCACTTGTTATTTTGTCAAAACAAAGCCCTGTGGAAATTATAGGAATTACGCAGCATCATCAACTTGCTCATTTCTCTTTTTTCCTCTGAACATTTACTCCTGTCAAATTATTCTCGACCGCACACGTTCTCGGTACGTTTTCTAGCCCTACCCTGATCGAACGTAACGTCGAACGAATTCCATCATTCTACCGTTCTACATTCCTCTCCATTCAATCGAAATCGAATGTATCACACATAGATTTTAACGAAATCTAAGATGGAAGAAAAAGGAAAAGGCAGAGAGTGAGAGAGAGAAACGGGAGAAAAAGAAAGAAATTACAAAATTAATCTTTAAATTCACATAATCGTGAAAATAATAACAGAACAATAATTTTACACTAGAAGATGTAAGAAGATACTAAGAAGATACTAAGATTTAAGAAGTTTTTAGACTATTAGACTGCTCAATAAATTTTATCCGTAATACTAGTATTTATTTTTATGTTTACTCCTATAACGTTTCTCAAGCTTGTGTCAGTTCCTATATATTTTACAAAATTATTCAGATCTTTTGCTCTTGTACTTTCTCCGCATTTTACTGTTATAATCATAATGCAGAAGAAGTTACTAGATAATAGAAATATTTCTGTATTAATTGTATTCAATATTAAAGAAGTTGCTTAGTCAATTTAAAGTTATTCCATTACAATTAATTGAAATTTACTTCACCTATCATTTTACTATGACAAGCTACTTCATCTGCATTTCCAATCGTTCGTTCTTTTACAGAAACCTGTTATATTGACACAGGGTAAATTTCTTGTCAGGCGGTAACGATGATTTCGTCTATATTTTTAGCACACATATCTCCTTATCATTTTAATGTCACATGTTACATTACCGACATATCATAGAATAACATTACGAAATTAATAGTGGTTAGAATTAAAATAATCTCCGTGAAATTAAGAATATGATGTATAGTAGAACAGGATACATCTAACGAGTCATCAACTCATCACAGATCTTATAATTACAAATAAAAGAAAGAATTTCATTTCCTTATACATAATATTTGTACGTCAATTTTACAAATTCTCATTTGAGAGAATAAACAATTGATTGGGACGGTTAGGTAACCCACACTTACACACATTCTCTCAAAAGAAAATATCGAATTCTTCATGTTAGATTTCACATGTTTTAATCGTCGTAATAAAATTTTGATAACATATACTATACGGTCGTATGAAATCTAGTTACGTATCTGACATTTATTTTTTAATAATAACTGAAATTTTTTAGTGACAGAAACATGAGTGAAGATATAAAATGCTCTCAATACGATGTTAAACAAAATAAAATATTGTCACACGTTTTCCCTTTGCAAGCATCTGGACGATGTCAGTCTATCAAAGAAGTAAGTAAATTCGTCTACATTGTTCTGCTACATATATCATATGATACACCACATTTCTAGCCAGGTTATTATACTTGTTCAATTCCTTAAATCGCAAATCAACTTTATAGAATAACGTGACGCATACGATATGCAAGGAACAAGATTACTTGAATGAAAGAAATATTTTCAATATATTCCATTTTCTGCTCTCTCATGTGATCATTCATCAACCAGCAGATCCTATCCAATACTTGTATGAATTGCTCGATGATTTTATATTATTTAGATCGGGGCTCAAAGAGCCACGATTACTTTGGACAGAAAAGTATGTTACGTTACTGTGGCCACTGTCACGTTTGAAAATGTATGTGTGCATATTTCATTCTTATTCCATTTATTCAGGCATCTTAATGCGATATTCGAAAATATTCTTTTCCATGATTCTGAATTTTTACCTTTGGATGGTTTTAAAACTGCTATGAAAACGATGGGCGTGCGTTCTTACGATCCATGTCCGGATCAGCTTGTCCGAGGATATGTAGATCGGCAAACTTTTTGTACGGAAGCGTAAGAGATAACCTTTCGTTGCCTTATCTAAGATGGATTTACAAATTGCGCTTGAATATTTATAAATCAAAAAAGAATGGGAATGTTCGTATTCTTTTCCAGATCGAATAGCATGAAAAATGAATTGTTGCATATGGCGACCGAAACCAGTCGACGTACATAGGCGTGAAGCAGAATAACTTATAATTCCTTTGCATATTGTATACTTTATCACAAGACGTATATATTTTATGTCTATTCATTATTAAATATATACAGTGGTTCACGAAAATATTCGAACACTTATCATGGAAAATTTTTATGATATATTAATTAATAGAAATTTTCTATATATATTATGTGTGTTATACAAAACATTTTGAAATTTCATTAGCAATGTATTGAGATTCGATCTCATGATTATATACTGATAAAATTTGAAAGAAATCTAAAAATGTGTATACAAACTACAAAATATTTAGCGCAAATATACGTTTCTTAAAAATCACAAAGATGTTTAAACAATGAAATATTCATTATATTAATAAACCTCGATATTCAGCGGAATCATCTTTATATGTTTAAGATGTTTGTAGTAAATGTCTTGCAATTTCTATATGTATTTTCACGTTGATTTCAATATCCAATGTAAACATAGTAATAGTCATATCATAAAAGTTTTCTACAGTAAATGTTCAAATATTTTTGTGAGCTACTGTATTATTACGATGCAAATTTTATTTATATGCGTAGAAAAAAATGAATTTCTTTTGGTAATAAATACGATCAACGATATGTTCTTGTATCACGTCGAAAAAGTATAGAAACGAAAGGAAACGAAAACGAGACGAGACGAGAACAGAAACATGACAAAGCCACTCGAAGAACCAACCAGAGAGAGGAGAGAAGGGTGAGAGTCAACAGACGAAGCGAGTCGAGGTAAAACGAGTCGACTCGAGTCGAAGTGGACTCTAACGAGCATGGTAAAGAACGTCAGGCTAGAGAGAAAGTGAGTGAGCGTGCGTGCATGCGAGCAAGCGAGCGCGCAACCAAACGATATAGTTCGAAATAGTTGTGCACAAGTTGTGTAAACGGTGTGGCACGCGTAGCTGATCAAACCGATCGAGATTTGCGTGTGGTTTAACTTCGCCGTACTATAACATCGCCTTGTGATCAAACCTTTCTACTTTCAACGCATTCAATGGTAACAAGCATGATCCTTCGAATTTCCTCCGTCGTGTTCCTCGTGCGTACACCATTACACGATCGTTCGACGAAGAATACGCAGTGTAGAAACCAGAGCAAGTAGTTTACACCAGTGAGCGCAATCTAAGGACATTCGTGATTTATTTTGTCTTTGAATTCTTTAACGCTAAACTATTACTACATCGTTATGCCATTCGCATTTCTAACAACGATGGTTAATCTGAAATCAAGTATTGTGCTTTCCTGTAACAGCGACGAAATTATATTAGGAGAGTGAAATATCAATATTTCGAAGAAAGAAGAACTTTACTGTCGAATACCTGTACACGCATTCGTGTACAATCTTTTTGCTAACACAGTACCGATTTTCTTTATACTAGTATACATACATATGTGTAAGGAAAACGTACATATATACATGAATATTTTCCCTGTAAAATTGTAAAAAATCATAACCAACGATGTTGAAAACGTATACTACCACTGTTACTACTGCGAGTTAAATCGAATCTGGAATTTAAGAAACGTCGGATTGGGAAGATTTCCTTTTGCAGAAATGCAAATTCTAATTGAAATTTAGTCGAAACGATACGGAATCACGAAAAATGAGACCGCTCGCATTTATGGCCTGTTCGGTGCTTTTACTATCTTTACTGCTACTCATTAGCATCGTGTCATCGGCCCCTTCCTATGAACATGTTGCCCTTCAGGCTGCCGACCAATGTGATTGGATTGGAAGGTTAGTATTCTTTATTCTTGTTATATTCTCGATTTCGATCGGTCCATAAAAAATTTACATATTCAGTTTGAAATATTATGAAATATTTGTAAGCTTGTCTTTCTATCCACATTTCTTTCCAATGATTTACTCCGAAACCCGCGCAATTATCATTTTCCCTCCAATTGAATCTGTTACGCAAAAATTTCATCAATTTTATCCCCACGTTTACATTTAGGTGCTTATGCATACGTGTATATCTTTTTAAATTCCTCTTGATAACGGGTAACGAAACCATGTATGTATCTAATAAACATATATGTATATATATGTACATATACATATATATAAACTTTTATTAAGCGCGAAACCAGTCGCCCGACTTACGGTGAAACCGGTTTTCCTCGTCCAACGAACAAACACAAGCAAACCTAAGAAAGATCGCATGGACTGGACTAGAGCATTCGATTTATCATCTCTTTCTCCTTTATAAGGGAGAATGAGTGGCCTGCGTGCATGTATTTATGTATATCTACGTATGCACGTATGTACGTATATATGAGCAAGTAGAAAGAAATGTACAATAAGCTAAAAAAGAAGAATGATTACGTGGCCAAGTGCAGTTGTCGATAATAACCATTATCATCCTAAAAAACGAAAGAACCGTTTCTGCTGTTATAATTCCATTTCAACTGGAGACTTAAAAAAGAAAGAATCAAGATGATATAAAGATACAGGGAAATTGTCTGAGTATCTTTCATCTCTGGAATATGTATAATATACCAAAATATAATATGATTGTAATCATATACATATAAGAAGATAGAAATAAGTAATGTATATTTAATCAGGACGTAAATAATTTCTTTCTCTGCCTGATTACGTTGCAGCGGAGGTGGAGGCCGAGGTGTTCGACCAGTATATCTGCGATGTTCCAGAGGAACGGTACTTTGGCGGTATCCACGAGGAGCTTTACGAGTTGTTCTCTCGCCCCCTGTTTTAGCTGGATTCGTATCGAAAGCTAATTACGGAATGAATCACGGAAAGGGCAACGTCAATAAGAAGAACGACAGCTATTGGAATAACAACGATGACCCATTTCAGTTATCCGGTTTCCGTACTTGTACCAAGATTTCAGGTCCAGTACGAGTATATCTGGAAACTCATGGCAAACTTCGGTCAATATACTCGCCGAGGGACGGCAAAGATATAGCTTCACATAGATGTTTTCATGCGAAAAAACAACCCGCAGCACTTTACATAGAAGCGGAAGAATTTACGTTGGGTGAACTTCACAATGCGAGATTACAATACGATTTAGAAGTACGGTATGTCGACATTCGACAAGGAGTATCGCAACGATTTAATGATGAGGAGGAAGACTGTAGACCGTGTACTATGGATGAACTAGCTAAGGCGTATTGTCAAAGCGATTTCATAGCCAGGGGTACCGTAAGTGCTGTCCAGAGACGACCAAATTTAGAAGCTGCCGAACTCGTCCTTAGAGTAACAAAAATTTTACGTCGGATCGAAGAGAATGAGGTAAATGTCTCTTGTTTCTTTTGCTATATCTGTTCACAAATGTATACATAGACATGTTTGTAAATTAACGTTCATTTTGATGCATTTCGAAACAGAGTAACAACGATGCAGATCCTACCGATTCCCATGACCGTAAAAATGTTCGTGTAAGGGTGCCAACTGCCTGTGATGCACGCCATGGCCAAGGAGAATTTGTGATAATGGCTAAACGAAGGCTCGGTGATCTTGTTCTGGTCTGTGCACCGAGAATAGAAACTTGGGCAAAGACAGTCCGCGAATTGGAAACTGCACCGTGTGTTCTTCAAAGTTAGCACACCCACGTTCCAAAAATCGCCTGTAAATAATTTATTTTCCTATTCTGCGTTGTATGAATATCGATCTCTAAACTGTGATATTGTTTTGTGGAAATTTTATCGTGAGAAATACATGACTTTTTAGCAATATAACTAACAATTTCCATCTATCTCTGTTATGATTATGCATCCCGAATTTTAACCGAGCGGTAGCAATTATTTGAGTGTGTGTTTAGAATTTTAATCTAATCAATCGCCAATCGTCAATTTAGAAATTTAAACGATTATGAATACACTTCTAATTCTTATTTGTTTCATATATTTATACAAGATTAAAATTTCAATCTATATGAGTTCACTTGCATTACACATTGAAACGTTAATTTAACAGTCACATTGTGATATGTACACACACGAAAAATCAGTCGTAGTGTAGAAATAATTTACAATTATTATGCTATGTTCGAAACTAATACATATGCGCGTTCAGTTTATTTCATATTTCGCAACTCTGACTGTGAAGTGATCAATTTACAATCCTATATTATAGTAATGTTTATAAATAATAAACAATTACTCTATCGTTAGATTTATATTGAGTTATATTACTTCTCAATCATCGATACCATTGATGCAAAAATAATCATTGATGTCGTTGAGACACTGTTGTTATTAATATTATTATTATTATTATCACAAATAATACGTATTAAGCCCTTTTTGTTTTACATGATATAAGTTTTACACATTGCCAAAGCGAAGGAATAACACGATACATGGTCCCAAAGAAACGATCAAAAATTGACATATTGAAAATTTATGTAAAATTAAAAAATTACGAATCAATATTTTCATATGGTGTGCAAGAAACAATGCTTGAGAAATAAAAATTGATCACCATTTACTAGGACGTATTTAATACAACTTTAGTTGTTATTAGTCTGTTCTTAATTCTTCATTCAATTTGTTCTTAATTCAAATTCGTTGCTTTGGAATAATTACAAGCGTTTCATCATCTCTTTTCTATTTCATCGTAATTCTTTTGTCGTCAAGTTTGTTTATAAGTTATAATGCACATATAAGAAGAATATATTGCAACAGCAATACTATTGAGAAGCGCATACACGCGAAATTTTGCAACGATAATATATTTATCATTTGCTGGTAGAATATACATTGCAATTATGAATCAGATATGGATATTCTACACGGTAGTTCATTTATCAATGGATTATGTACAATACGATACGACAATCAGAATTTTTCATTTATTATGCGATTATCATATTGTTGTATAAGGATAATTAGGACATAATGGTAAAATGAGATCGTCCATATTTGGCAAAACAACCAGTTTTTCAAATTCCCTGAGTAACTTAGTTTCTATCCATTTTGTTATGTAAACGATATTAACTGTTCTCTCACCAACCGCGGGTTTTACGGTAAGACTCACTTTCGGTACAGGCTTAAAACCGTACCATAAACGATCGGACGGTGCTGGTGGAATGTTTAATGATAGACAACCTTCAATACTTGAAACGGTAACCATCAACCGAATTTCCGTATTCGAAACACCTTCCATAGCCCTTCGAACATAGGACAGTTCGGTGGCCTGATAATTGGAACACATGAAAAAGCAAATATTAATAGATATTGATCTGAATGTTACTAAATAAATTTTTAGAAAATGTAACAAAACATATTTACATGTTGAAAATATTTATTTGCAGCTATTTTATCCACCATACTAAGAAATTTTCTTCCAGATGATTGTGTAGATCTGCAAAAAACAAACGAAGAAAGAAAGAAAGAAAAGAAAAACCAGATAGATTAAGATATCGACGTAGAAGGAAATGAATGATAAAACGATATTACTGTTATAACTTACGTTGTTTCTTTGGACATATTGTACGATTGTGTTCTAGAATTATCACAATCGTCTTCTGTAGACGTTTCTGGCGTATCTTCTACATCACTATCGAAAATTGGTGATCTAGTTATTACTTCGTTTGATTTTTTTGTTGAAATAATCGTATCATCAGGAACTGATCCAGTTCTTGTCAATTTCATTAAATTCAATTTTGTTTCAACAGTCATAGTCAAGGATCCTTTATATGTTATATCTAAATTAAGCCAGAGACCTCTTTCGTTAATTACTGGTTTTGTTACATTGTGAATAACAGGAGATCCTTGACCTATTGCTACCTCTGAAACCAAAAGGCACTCCATAAAATATGGTAGTTTTATGTTGGATAACTTGCGTTGTATTTTATCCTGTATAAGATGTATAGTTTCAGGACACTTGCGTACGTCGAAAAGTATACGAGCTATTAGACAATTAATCCAAAGTGAGTTTTCAGCAGATGTGGAAATTGCACCTTCTGACATTGGCGAACAGCTACTATCCAAGTATTTTGCCATATAAGTGTTATAATTAAGCTCAGGTATGGTTTCGTGTGAATTACTAGCTGAAAGAGAGCTTTTTGATTCTGCGTTGATTTTATGTTGCGTTGATTGAGTATTAGGTATAGTGGACGACGTATCAATCGCAAACAGTAATGGATCATTTTTTTTAACGGATCGAGATGCAGCTAAAATTAAACGTCTGTACCAATCTTCTTTTTCACGATCAGTTCTGGCAAAAATAAATATTTTTAATTTATTTTTTTGTTCACCATTATTATGGTGTTCTCCTCCCTCATCCCCCTTCCCATC